AACACATTAGCACAAGTTCTTGTGATGCAGTGTGAAAGGGGACTTGCTTGGCTTTGAATTCTGATTTTGAATTATATCCAAACATTTGAACTCGGTAACTGTTTCCTCAAACCTGAAACACACGAGAATAGGCTCACAGTGGTTGGATACATAAGGAACCAGGCTAAAACAACTAGGAGTTGGAGGCTGAAGGATTATGAAACTCAAAATCTCAATTACTATAATTTATTGGGTAAAGGAATCAGGCATAAAGATCATCCATACATTTGGACTAGGTAACTCTGCTATGACCTCCTCACAAAACAAAAACATGTAACAATGGACAAACAACAGCTACACAGAAAATAAACAGAATCCTGGGAATATGAGAGAAGATGTGAAAATCAAAAGAACCCGATAATTATTATTTATTGAGGAAAGGGTTGAATTCACATACTGCTTGGCACGTTTAGTGTCCATCTCCGAAGTAGAATGCTTGGCAAGAAATGAGTCCAATTCAGAAGAACCTTTTGGGTCATGAATAACATATTCACCAGGATCCTGCTTTTCAGTAGGTGAAGATGGTCTCCTCTCTGCTTCTTTTGAAGTACTTGATGATCCTGCATTTTGAATAATGGTATAGTCCCCAGGAGAAGGAAGTCCACGAGGAGGTGCAACTGAATTCACAGGCATATCCCATGTCCGATTTTTGGTTTTGCCTAAAGAATTTGGGGCCCCATACGAAGAACCGTGACGTATATCTCTATAAAATTCAAAATCTTGAGTTCCCCATGAAGGCACCGAGGTTAAATTTTTGAACTTGTTATTATCTGGAGCAACATAATTTGAATTTCCAACATTTATGGTATCAATATATGCAAACGAGTCACTAGATGAGCGCCGATGACCTCTGCGCACAGGAGTTTCTGGCTCATTAAGCAGTTCATCAAACCAAGAAGGTTGTTCCTCTATTAAAAAACTCTCGGAGGAAGTACGTTGGTGGTGTGAATTTACCTCTCTAGGCTTTGGAAGACCTTTCAGTCCAACCCCATGACTAGGGACATAATCAACATATGATGGGTATATGCTAGGAAATGGACTTTTTGGAGGCAGTGACGAATTCTTTCCACTGTAAATCATATTTTTGAAGCTAGATGGTCACTTGGAATTTTCCATGGCAAAGAAGACCAGGTCCTGTCACAAATATTAACAATATCAATGTCAGAAAATTACTTCTGAAAATAATCATTCATTTATTGGACTCTCTAAGAAACATTCTCAACTCCAATTCTCAAGTTTATTCAAGAAGATAAAAAACAAGACAGCATCAAAGAAACAAAACAACCCAACTACATAGCCAATGCATGTGAATTACCTGTTACGAACAAAAGTGAAATTCTGAAGAAACCATCAATTCCAAAAACGACTATGCAACATCAACACTTGTCCCAACCCATCTCACGTCACGCAATAAAGCTCACACTTTCAATGAACACCAATCTTCCAACTCAATCCCATTATTAACATTCAAAGCAACAATCAATTAACTGAAAGGCAAAAAGACTACCCAAGCATGAGGTGATCATGGAATTTTCCGTGCAGCATATT